TATGCATGAAAATATGTAGGAGTATATATTATTTGCTACCAAGACCATTCATTTCCCATGGTGTTAACTCATTCATCCCTTTAATCTCGTAGGTTGTACCTTAATTTCTAAGGTTTTCCAATGCATTTCACCCATGCATTCACTCATCGTACCATGCCATGCTCATTAGGTATAGTTATATCCCGTATAATCCATATCGTAACACTACAAGTTGATGGAACCATACCCAATTAATTAAGTACAGTTATATCTCTGTATAATCCATATCCTACACTACAAGTTGATGGAACCATACCAATATACCATGCTAATTAGGTACAACTATATCCTTGCATAATCTTGGCATTACAAGTTGCTGAAAATAATTATTTTTCCAGCTATATATAAACACATAGGAATGAGTCCGGGAATGAACATCAAGAAGAAAGCAAAAATTAATGAAGGGTAAAAGATTTAAGAGCTCATTTGGTGCGTTTTCTCTGGTATGCTCAATACATTAGGTGGATTTCCATATTTTATTTGAATGGGTGTGATGAATCAAACGAAACAAACTATCATCCTTTGAATAGATAAATATAACAAACATTTTAATTTTTATACAAAAACAATGAACCGTCTATAGTTCTTGTTGGTGTTGTGGTGTTGTGGAATGATAGTGTCGGGGCGGGTGTCGATTGCATTGTGGACATCGTGGTTGCTCAGGGGTGTGGTAGTCATCATCCTAATTCACTGAGGGCATCTGATCTAGTGTTGTAAACATATATCCACCACTATACTCTCCCATCTCTGGTGGAAGCGTAGATTGACAAATAAGTGCTTAATATGTTAGTTAAATACTAACATATGTTTTGAAATTGTATTTGTCAAATACTTGATATTTGGATATATCGTGATCGAAATCAAAGACAAAACGAGCAAAAAGAAAAAGGCAAAGGATCAGGGTGAAAGCAATATCGACACTAAGGTTTACTAGTGAGGCATAAAGTGATTGCATCTAACTTATTTTATATATTTATACGATGAGGAAAACTTGCGATGAGTCGACCTCGGCTTATTCAAAAGAAACGTTTTTTTAATAAAGTGTTCTTTGAAATTATATTTTTATATATTTATTACATTGTGTTTAGATGCTTTTGGACATGAATTGCACGATACATAGTTTTATGATATTTTTATTTTATTCGAATGAATTTACATGTGTAATTATATATAATTTTGATAAAAGTCCAATGTATATGTATTGAGAGTCTGGGGTACAAATGGCATGCCGTGAGGTGGAGTGACTATATGATACATGTTTATATGGCACTTTTGGTGCAATTTACGAGGCACTTACGAGTGAAATCCTACGAGGCTCTTTTGAGTACAATATTGTAATACCTCCAATTTCGAGTCAGTAGTTTGGGTCAACCCGAGACCCATGAGTCGAGCCCATTAGATCTTCACAACCAGTTTAGACCAGTTTTTGAGAATATTGGGCTTAAGTTGGCCCATGAGCTAAAAGTTAGTAATGACTTTAGTATGGGGTTTTAAAAGATAGGGACCAAAAGAGTAGTTTACCCAATTCTCAAATTAAAGGATAAAAACATCTTATATTTAGAGGATTTCACGTGAACCAAGCTTCCCAAATACTCTTCCTATTTTCTATTCTCTCATCTTTTCCTTTCATCTCCAAGAGCAAGCCATAAGGTAAAAGCTTTTTGAGATTTCCAAGCCTAGTTGATTCAACCAAGGTAAGATTCTTAATCTTCTTTCTCCAACCTTCATTTTGAACCCCTAATCTTAAGTTTAAAGAATGGTTTCAAAATGGGTTTTCAGGGAAAGTTAAGGGAATCAAAGGATTCAAGTTTATTCTAGTAAATTTGAGTTGTTTGGTTTATTCTTAACCTTGTTTTGAGCCTTCGATAAGTTAGTAAACCCTTGTTCTTGTATTTGATTAGCTAAAGAGGTGGGAGAGAGTTTAAAGGCTAGAGGTAAAGAAAAAGTGAATCCTAGTTTATTCGAGAGGAGATCAAGCAGCCAGAAAGCCAAGTAACACACTCGCAACTCTCTCATACCCTTAGTGGGTCATTAGAAGTACAAGATAGCTTAAGAGTTAAGATTGAGCATGTTGAGTAAATTCCATGGTAGATTCTTAATAAAGATGTTTAGCATGTTTCTAAAACTTATTTATGACCCTCTAAGATCACATAAGACTTAATAATCATTGGGAAACCTTAAGGTAAAGAATTTGAGGAGTTTGAGTGGCTTTTTCAAGCCCAAAGAGGGCATTTTCGAGCAGGAGACTCGATACTGTATGAGTCAGTACCGATAATATTCTTTAGAAGTATGAAATTTTGCTTAGGTTAAATAGAGTATCAATACTCTTAGAAGGAGTATCGATACTACAGGGTTGGTATCGATACTCATGAGGTGTATTGACATCGAGAACATATTTCAAATTCTAGAATGCCATTTTGGTATCGGTACTCTAGGGAGTATCGATACCCAGGGTCTCAGTATCGATACTCCCATATGAGTATTGATACTTTTCCTTTTATTTTAAGAGAAGCTAGCTCAGGGTTATCGATACCTTCGGTAGGGTATCGATACTGAAAAGAGAGTATCGATACTGTAAGACCAGTATCGATACCAAGGTTATGTTGTGGGATTTTAAGCAAGAGGGTTTATAGAGGCGAGGTTTCCTAATAGTTTATTATTCTCTCAAAGAAGACTAAAGGTGAGAACAATAATTATGCTTAATCAAACATAGAAATGAGATAAAGTAGAGAAAATAAGACTAGCCTTGTTTGAATGCTCGAGAAACGATCAGGACACCTAAGTTACTTTAGAAAAACTAGCAGTGTCGATGTATAGATACAGTCCAGATATCCTTAGGTAGTGTGAGAGGTACTTTAAACTGATTAACTAGGGCGCGAGGACCAACATCCATAAGGGGTGGGTTAGTCAAGGGTGGTGTGTCCGATGCAGAGATTCCAGGCCACATCTTTGGTAGACTAGAGGGGTGTGTGGGATCCGAGATGCAGAGATCCCTCAGCCGCACCATGATGTCTACCCTAGAGTAAAGAGTGAGTATACTCACTGACGTATGAGATTGGATAGCTTTATGTATTCCCCTGATACACTTTTAGTATGATCTAGTCGTTAGTGTGGCACTAAGCTAGTTAGCTCAGAGTTTGGAATTTGTTTCTTATGCAAATTAGGCGGAGCAGTTGAGGAGCTTAGAGTGACCGAGATCCAGAGCAAGAGCATATCAGAGTACGTCTCAATTTTTTGAAGGACGTGTGTATTTGTAAACCCTATTGTAAAGTTGAGTTATAAATTTGTTAAAAGTTGGTATATATTATTTGAAATGTAAATCTTTATTTTGGGAGCTCCCTAGTATAAAGTTAAATTTTTATTTTATGGTTGTTTTTCTTGTGAAAATGGTTATTAAAATTGTCATTTTAAAATAAGAGAATAAGTAAAAAGGTTGATCATCCACTCCAGTGGTTCCGTGTAGCACTCTAATCGATCGACTGTGTGTCGTACTGGTTTAGGGTGTTACAAATACTACAGGCACTTTCGAGTGTAAGTATATCTACGAGGCACTTTTAAGTGCATATACGCGAACACTCGACGAGACTTGCGTATCGATATTCTCGATTAAAATACATTGGACTATAATTTAAATAATGAAAAATACAATTAATATAAATTTATATGTTTTAAATATGAAAAACACAAGTTATATTAATTAGAAGCTAATAAGGGTATTATTAAATACTTGATTTACTTTTAAATGTTTTACACATGAAATATTCTTGAATAGTTTAATTTTATGTATTTTAAATATTATTTTAATAAATTTTCTATATATAATTTTCATATGATATTTTATATATTGTTTGGTTTTACTTTAACTTTCTTAACGCCTCACTAAGTAAATACTTAGCGTGTGATTGTTTCACACGCAGGGAAGGAAAAAGAAAAGACTGCAAAGTAGAGAGCAGATCAGCATTTACTCAGGGGAATCAAGCTACCGTCTGAATTAGTACGTACATCTATTTTGATATTTTGTCCAAGTAGTGGCATGTATAATATAAGTATTTTAACTGCTCTTATATTAAGTTTTGAATAGGGTTTTGTAATATAGAAGTTAATACTGTTAAAATATAGTAATATCAAATAAGGTTAGTAGTATAAAAGCATAGCATTTTATAAATTATATTTTTATAAACTGATTATCTAATTTTTAAATTAGGTTGTTTTATTTATAATATTGAATAGTATCAAACTGCTTAGTTATTTTTGAAAATCAATTTTTAATTTCGACGTTAAATTATTGAATTACTAGTTTAAAATAAATTTACAAATTATAAAGAAACATTTTTTTGGGGTTTTGAATAATAAAGTGTTTTATAAGATATATGTGATATATCTTACTCGTATACGAGTTGTACACTGAAATGGAGTGTTATAGGTTCCCACCCGCTCTATATATCTCAAAATTCATCACCCCGTTTACCAATAATTATACCATTATTAGGTATCAATAATGGTAAAACTTTTGCCCCAATAATGTTTATACTATCACTGCCATTCTTCAAGTGATTTTGCATGCATTTGGAACTTGCAAAAACTAGGTTCACGGGGAGCAGTAGTGGCACCAGCCAAAAAAGTGTAGCGGGGCAGTGGGAGACGCGTTGCTCTCGCAGTGACTCCCTAAGGCGCACTGGCTGCAATGCGACACCCTTTATATCGTATGAATTTCAATGCGTCACTCTTCATTACAGTAGAATTAATTCTATTTGAAAAAATAATTTGCCGCAAATATTATTCGAGCTAATAAAAAATTCAAGGGTATTATCTAAAAATTTTGATCAACTTTATTAATTAGGAAGACGAGAAAGTAGATAGATAAAGAAGAACACGTGCAGTGGTGTTGATTTAGAAAGCTGAGCCCCTCTCACCCAACACAAATATTCCTGGAAACAACCAAAATTTGTAAGAACCTGAGCTGTAAACAAAATAGCTATATTTTCATTATACGTTCTTTTCAAGATACCCAACCCAACCTAACACAACACAACACAACACAACCGTCTTGTATATATATATTTATATTATTTTTTGCCCGTAGCCCAAGAAAAGGTGAAATCCAGAGCCCAAGATTCTCATGACCGGGTCACCGATTCAGCAAGTTTCCCAATTTTTTCTACAAGCAGAGGAGATAATTTCATGGCAGGTTTCTTTTCCTTTTCCAGTCGAAAATCGACCCCCAGTGCATCCCAAACTTCTTCGGAACTCCAACCGGCCTTTTGGAGCGAATCCGAGAACCGGTCCACTTTTAAAAGAAGCGCATCCAGAACGGCTTGATTATCCAATAAAACCATCTCTCCTTCGAAGAACCTAGATGGCGACACGTGCATCATTTCAGCCACGTCGGATTCGGCCCACCCGCCTTTTCTGAGAACCCACCCTGTTTTATCAATGTAATCCTCCACCCATTTCGGCATTTTGCTTCCTCGCATATTGATATACCTCTCAGGCGACGAGGACGACGATGAGTTTCTCCGTCTCCGATCATCCGCAACGTCGCTCCAGAACTCGACCCATCTGGGGGTTCTCGCCCCGGCATCCAAACTACTAGGGGATGACCTGGCTGATTTCTCACTAATTGGTCTCTGCTTCTTCAACGATTCAGGGTCGGGTTCGAATCTTCTGAACAAGGACTCCCTCTCAAAAAAATCGGATATATCGAACCCGCAACAGAAAAGCCGGGTCTCATCGACGAAAAAAACCGGGTTACCGGCTAAAGAGGGGTTACATGGAATATAGCAGTGATTGAAAATGGGGATCAAAAGGGGAGCTCGTTTAAGGGCATTCCTTGCGACCCGTAAAACTTTCTCGGGGTCAGAGGGTCTGGGTCCCCAAGATTTGGACCATAAAGTGTTACGCGCGATTTGAAAGGAGATTGCAGCAATGGGAAGATCAAGCGAAGCCCGAAGATGGAATCGGGCTCCAACACATCGCCAATCGGGAAAACCCGGACCTACCGGTAACCCGGCTGATAATATGGCTCGGAGGTCGGGTGGGAAAACAAATCCGAACTCGGCTTCCGCTCGTGCGAACTCGGCGTCTGATAAACCTAGCTGGACTTGGAAACCCGAGTCCCGTAAATGGGTTATAACGTTACCAGCTAAAGACGAGAAAGATGGAAGACCGTTGCGAACAGGAAGGGAAGTGGGAGTTGAAGGAGCGGAAGCACGAGCAGAGAGACGGCGTAAGCCTGCTATATGAGCCGGATTCAAACTTGACATCCTCCTATCGACGTCCACCATTGTTGCTCTAACAACAAAGAACGACTCTCCTCGTTCTGATCCAAAAAAACAACCTTTACTCTCTGTCTCTCTATCTTTATTCGCTAGAAATAGAGGAGCGAAGAAGGGGTGCGGAGTTTGCGAAACTTGTTTACAACTTTGAAAAGTAGAGGAAGGTAACGTTTATAGCTGTGTTTAAAGGTGGAGCCCAGCATTGAGATATGTTACTTTGATATTTTTTTTTAGAATGGGTAAATTACATTGTTGATCAACTTTACTCTTCTCTTATTTTGTTTATTATACTTTTAATTTTTTTATTTTATTCACTGAATTTTACATATTAAATCGTTTTGTTCATTCTATCTTTAAATCTCTAACGGTATGATGATGGGTTGATTTTTTTATTATTATTTAATCATTAACTATATCATTCTTTACTAAATTTTACTCTCTTCAATTTTGCTCACCCTATTTTAAAATAAAAACAAAATGTGGTTGGATATCATCGTCGATTGTCATTGATGGTGGTTATTCAGTGTCAACATTCATGGGTCGGTTTGTCTCGACCCCTGAATATGAATCTGGTGATTATTTCATGGGAAAATGTCTCAAAATCAGTGAATATCGACTGAAATGTTTCGATTTTCTCACTTTCATTCGCCAATTCGTGGACTTTGGAGCAAGTTCTGACAAAATAGATGTTGGATTTTGACTCAATATATCGAGTTGAGGCGAAACGATTCATGAAATTTTGGATCGAACGACCAGCATCTACGGCAGGCCGATGGTGACATCCGGCCACCTTCTGTTTTTATTTTAAGTTCGGTGAGACAAATATGAGAGAGAGTAAAATTAAGTGAGAAACAGTGTAATTTACTTTTTATATTTTCAATTATTTTATATTAAATAATAATAAAAAATGACACATCATCACGTCGTTAGAGAGTTAATGAAAGAGTTAGCAAAATGATTCAATCTGTAAAGTTAAATGAGAAAAATAGAAAAATTAAAAGTACAATGAGAAAAATAGGAGAGAGAGTAAAGTTCAGTGAGGAACGATATAATTTACCCTTTTAGAATAATAGTAATTTTTAATAGTTTTAGTGATCGTAATATAATATTTATTTAGAATTTTTTAATTAATTGATAATATATACATTTATTTTGTAAGTATTTTTATTCGAAATCAAAATTTTTAAAGAAATAATATTTTATTTTGCTATTAGAGCCATTTGATGAATTCTTCTTGAATAATCTTGATTTTAGATTTTTAAAACCTTTTTATTATGATAAGTTAACATATGCTACCTTTGGTACCATTTTCTCCTTTACTTGGAATTATGAAATTGTTATTCAAGTAATTTAATTTTTGAAAAAAATAAAAAATACACATGATTTTAAATGCCTCCATTTTTTGTTGTTGATAATTTTAAAAAATAACATTTTTATTGAAGTTTTACTTGAAAAAAATACACATTATCTTAAATGCCTTTGAATTCTTTATCCCTGAAATTAACTTAATTAAATGTTTTTAGTAAAATGTTATTATAATATTCATAAAAAATACCATATATTTATATGTATAATTGTTGAGTCTAACTGATTAATGAAAATAGTCAAGATGGAATGAATTGACAAACAAAATTTTTATGAAAGTTTGAAGTAAGATAAAAAAGATAGACACGTATTTAGAATGATTCAAATTTTTTCAATAAAGTTTGTGTTTATTATTTTAGCTATCAACACAAAATTCTTCTACAATTTCTCTAATTTATTCAACCTTTGAGGTTCAAAAATCTTAAACAGCTCTCTCAAAGAAAATTACAATTAATAAATTATAAAATCCTCACGAGAAAAGATATTTCCACAATTCAAACATTAAAACACTCTAAAATACTAGTAAAGAATCATAATGAATACAAAAATTAATGTTCTTGAAAGTAAATAAGAAATTGATTACAAATGACTTTTTGACTTAAAGTTGGTTGAACAAGCTTTCTCTATGACCTTTTACCTTCAAATATGCTTTAAAATCTTGTTTATATACTCCTTCAATGAATTCTAGTTGTTTAGGTTAATGCAAGAAAAAGTTGCGTCTTATCATACCCTTTTATAAAAGGTGCTCTTTTGAAAACATGACTCAAAAGACATATTTTTTAGTATAACAGGACCAATCGAAAATAGAAGGCTTAATAGAAAAATAACTGCCCTCGAAAAATATTTTAATGTCTAAAGAAATTTTCATAAAAAAATAGATGTCTAACGTTTTATCAGTTATACTTTTAGGTGCATACCGTTTATTTTTTTTTATTTTTTTAATAATAAAAATATTATTTTTAATTAAAAATAAAAAAAATAAAAAACTTATTTATAAAAAACCAAATTTTTTTATTGAAATTATAAAAAATATTAAAAAACTAAAATCTCTCATTTTAACCACCATTAACAATTGTCGTCGACAATCTCTGGCCACTATTGTAATCGTCGAATGGTCACCCAGCCGTCGTCACCCACCCATTGATCAATCATCAACCTTATTGTCACCCAAAATCCCTAAATCTAAAATTGTTGCCTTTTATGAACAACATAAATATGCCAAGAGGGGGGCACATTTGGCCTTTTAAAAAGTTTGGTAGAAGCAATCGAAAAATATAACTTTTTGCACAATGATTTAGAGTGGTTCGACTTCTAAACCAAATCTGCATCCACTAACTTAGCATCCATACTAAGGATTTCCCAAATCCACTATATTTGTTTACCTTTGAGGATAAGGTGTAACCTTACAAAAACTTTGAGATTTATGCCCCAAAACCTTGAATACACACTCTCCCAAAGAGTAATTACAAATTTAGTAAACTAAAGAAAAACCTCACAAAGGCAAATAAGTTTGCACAATTTAAGCACTCACCCAATGCATACTTGAGCAAAATAAACAATGTAGCTCACAAGTGTGTTTACAACAAGGAATTTGAAAAATTAAGCACAAAACAAAACTTTTATGTTGGTAGGTTGGTTCAATAACATTCTTGTTGACCTTGGGAAACTTTTACCTTCTATTTACACATTCTCCATTAATTCTGGCCGTTGGGGATCATTATAGTTGTTACCTACAACCCAAAACAACATTTATGCACAAGGCATCGATTTTTTTTTCAAAAAATACGACCGTTGAAATAATGGGATCGATCCTTTAAGGTAAGGGATCGATCATTTTCTTTGAGAGATCAATCCTAAACTCACTGGAATCCAAGGGATTGATCATTTGGTCAAAGGGATCGATCCTTTAAGCCAAAAATCCTTGAAACATATCTTTAAAGGGCGAAAACGATCAAGTATATTTTTTAAAAGGTTCGATTAAGTCAAAAAAAAATTAAAACATATTTTTCAAGTTAATTTGAACTTTGAATTATTTTTTATAATTTTTTGATAAAATTGATTATGTCCAAAATCAATTTTGCAATTTATTGTTATGTTAAAATCTTAATTCAACAATCTCCCCCTTTTTGATATAACAAAATCTTTGAAATTTGTTTTTGAAAAATGCATCCCCTTTGAAAAATAATAAAACAATTTGTAAAAATAATTAAGCTCCAATTTAATTTTGAAAAATTATTTTTCATTTTATATTTATTTTCCCCCTTTTTGTTATATCAAAAATAATTTAGCAATGTTAGTAGCATATACCAATGGAGATAAAATAATTAAAATAAGCTAGAATCATCAATAAGCATATTAAGGCACAAGAAACATAAATATCCCAAAATATCCAATGCATATATATAAGTTCAAGTGCCCAACAAGATAATCATCAAAATATCAAATAAAAGTTCAAAATACCAAACATCAAAAGTCAAATATCCAAAATATTGCAAAATCTAAATATAAGATAAAAATATATATAATATGCATGATCTAAGATGATGATGAAGGAGTGAAGGAAAATCCATCAAGCTAACGTTGGATTGCTTGAACCTCCTCGGTCATATCATCATGACGACGCTCTATCACGTCAAAGCAGGAGTCGACATAAGCTCAGAGAGAATCGAGAGACCGAAAAATCCTATCCTCAAAGCATCGGAAAAAATCCGCGTGAGGTGTCAGGTCCACATGAATTGCTCTCTCAGGCTCCTTGCCAACATCGTTATCACGTGCATCATCTATATGCTCATATCCATCGTACTCATCCTCCATGTTCTCTCCATGGAGACTACAGTACCAACACATAGAACCCTCGGGCTCCTCCATATAGTCAATCACCATGGTGCCACGACCAATGGTCCTCTCATCAGAAGGGTACGTGTCAGGCTCTTGTGAGGTGTTGACGTCAAGAAGCTCGAACAAGTTACTAAGGTACATCCCTTAGATAAAGTTCGGTTGAGCCTTTAATTTGATAACGCTCACGATGTTATTGAAGATCATACTAGCCACGTGAAGCTGACAACTATGTTGAATGCAAAACATCCATCAATAGTCTCTCTTTCGAACCGTAGAGAATTTTGTGCCATGAGCACGGATACAGTGAGAGACAATAAGATGAAGCAATCAACCGTTTAGGGAGAGAATGATGACTCTATTGTTTCTAAAGCGTATATCGATAGGAAAAATAGCCTTTTTCATTATCATCGCTAGTAAAAGGGAGTTCAAAAGATTGCGTGACGAAATCAATGGTAATAGTGACAGTCTGACCCATAAGAGGCGAGAAAATGGTTCGATAGTTGGTTCCATCATAAGAAACGGACGACACACGAGCATTCAAGTAAAAAGCTCGAATCAAAGTATGATAAGTAGGGCCAAGAAAGTTAAGAAACGTGGAAAGTTTCATATACTTTAAATTTTGCTCTTAAGGAAAACCCAAATTTTTTAAAAATTCAAAATTAATTTTTTTAGTTTCCTTGATAGATCGATATACAAAAAATGAGTCAAAACGCTTACTAGCTTTGATTGATTTGAAGCATCTGTCAATCCAATAGTCAATTGAAGGATTGCTTGAAGATGGTTCATTTGAAACCATTGTCTTTCTTCTTGGTATTTGGAAAAATCTTGATGAGAAAGTGATTTTGATCCAAAAAGAACGTTTAAATGATGCTCAAAAAAATTTAGGGGGAATTAAAAACCAATTTTGAGTTTAAAAGGATGA